TAATACTGAATCCATTTTTTAAATTAAATAAATTATAAAATGATATTGAAAAGTCTCACACAGAAATGACTGTTGTATGTATTGGTAAAAATGCATGCAAATTTGGAGTTAAAGGCAGAAAGAATGATGCATTTCACGGTCACTTCTATTTAGCCACACAACAGATTACAGCTAAGAAACAATCAGTTTAAATTATCAAACACTTAAATTATTAGGTCATGCGAGATATAAAAAAACATTCAGATTTAAATCTTATTTGTAGCCTTTAAAGTACCTTTTCAAATACCGGGTATGTCATTTTTCTTGATACAAACTATAAAGCGTTATTTAACATTTAAAAGAACATGTATTGGATCCTTTCAATTTTGTTTTGTTTTGTTTATCTTGTTTTGTTTTTCTTTTTTTTTTTTTTTTTTTTTTTTTTGCTCGTTTGCTTAACAGCAATGTTTTATATATAACGTGGTTTATCTTCTACAATTTGTTTAGTTCTAATGTGTAGATGATGTGCATGTAAAAATCATGTGATATTTTTTACTGTACCTTCATTTCAATTTTTTTAAAAGTGAATGTCGGAAATATTTGCTTATACTTACTATTAGATTATTACAATATGTTTAACGGTGTCACCGTCTTATCGAGATCAGTCTGAGGCAGCAAAGCTACCATCTGCAATTTTAACTTAAAACTCTAAATTGTGACCTCAAATAGGATTGTATGTAAGTTGCATACATGTCTTAATAGAATCTAAATAAGCCAAGTGCATTCGACAAGCTATGAATACTGACTAAATATATTATTAAGCGATGGGTAAAAGCGAATAATTCGTTTATCTATTGATCAACAATTTCAACAATTTCAAGGGCAATGATATCTGGCATTTTCAAACCGGTACACGCATTTTTCGTAATAACCTAATCTAAAAAGATAAAAAGCCATCGAATGAGGACAGTCATCTTTGTGCTGAAAAAAAACCCATAAATTTCTAAGCTCATCTGATCTGAAGGCTCAAGTGAGCTTTTCTAATCAAAAAGTGTCCAGCATCCGTCTCTCGTCTGTAAACCTTTCACTTTTTCGGCCTCTTCTCAACAAAACTTGCACCAAATCATCCTTATAGCTGTGGTTTCATCAATTTTCGTTGGCATCAATTTTCGTTGATTTTGTAAAACATACATTTTCGAGGATACGTAATTTCGTGGACAAAAGCTTTGCCTATACAAATGTATGTCATATTTCGTAATTCAATGAACATTTGAATTCGTGGATCTGCTCAACAACGAAATCCACGAAAATTGGTGCTCAACGAATATTGATGAAACCACAGTAATAGAATTCGTAAAATTGTGGTTGTATCTTTTAAAACTCTTCTTCTCAAGAACCACTATTCAAAAAAAACTTAAGTAAAATCTTTACGTAACGTACTCTAGATTTAATTTTGTTCATATCATAACACCTGCGGGTTGAGAGGGGCTACATGTACAAAAAGGGGATAAAGTTTTACATGGGAATATTTAAGAAATGTCGTACATGTATCCTCAGGTGGTGTAGATTCAAGATTATTCCAATCATGACCCGGCCCTAGAGCAGGGTCTCAACAAGGGGGGTCAATGTTTTCCAAGATTTTAAATTAAGGAAAAATCTTTTTTTAAAATTCTATCTCTCAAGATATACCATCCGCGATATGTGAAGTCTTTAATGCGTTTTACTCAAATGCCACTGTACCATTACACCCAATAAAACAATTTGCTCAATTGACCTCAGTGCAATCTTTATAAAGTATGAAATTCTAAATACTTAATTAAAGGATGTATTCGCTTTAACAAAAGAATTGACCTATAGGAGAGAACAATTTCCCGGAAAAAGTGACATTGAAAAATTAATCTTTATTTGTTGTTTTTTACCGTATATATGTCTAAATTTTTAAAATTTGTGTTTTATACCTTAAATTTATTAGTTATAACTTTACAATAAACCTCCAAACTTGGCCTAAACACCATTTTGTCCGATAAAGCGTTGATTTTTGCATGAATTTTGGCCTAGAAGTCCTTCGGGGCAGGCCTGCCCCTATATAAAATTGTGATATTTTGATAGGTTTGAATGTAATGATGAATTTAAGATAGGATTTTTTTAGGGGCACCCCTGCCCTAGGGTCGAAATTCACAAAAAACTTACAAAAAATAAGGAAATCTGATTTTGATAATCTGCTTCAAATTTATACCTATAAATTTTATAGTCAGACTAGCTCAGTTGAAATACATGCTGACTTTTATACCGTACAAACTAACATTTTACAGTCGGGGGATCGAATCCGCCTAGTACCACACTTTTAAAGTTTAAAATTTTCGCCTTTTCGAAGACTTTTAAAATATTTTTTATAGCCTTGTGTATTTTCCTTCAATTATATAATTATCCTTTATGCATGCCCATTCTTGATATAAGGAACACTAAAGAGATATCAAATCGTAGAAATCCAATGTAAAGTTGTCAGTCAGGCGGAACAAACCTCAGTATAAGCACACTTTCTCCGAGGACAAGAATAACTCACTCTGTGTTACTCAATACAGGTACTCTTGGCAGCATTGAGCTGTGATGAATGTCAATTGTATATATTCCTTAGAATTTAATAACATTGCTTTTGGCTACATACAAATCAGTAACTGTCCTCCTCGGATTTGATTTAGGCCTATACTATTTGCACACATTAATCATGTAAATGGAATGTTTTACTTCATTCACAGATAACATTGCCTAGACATAAAGAATAGAATTTCAGAGGCAGTAAACATTACCATTTTGCATATTGAGAAGTTAAGACAAATATCAATTATTACTATTTGAGATAACAAACTCAGAAAATCAATGAAAGGGTTCCTCATACCTCTACTCGCTGAAAAAAAAAGATTTAGGAAAAACAAATTGTTATACGTATTCAGCCTAATGCCATTAATCAGAACGGAAATCGACAAGCTGTTTGTAGAGAAAAAAACCAAGCCCGGTCCTATAGGTCAAATCCCTATTTATAATGAAGTGATCCTTTTTGAAACTTTCTCTTGGTAATGCCTTTTCTACTCTAAAATGTTTTAAAATAATATTGGAGTATTACATTGTATGTATGTGATGGACAATTAAGGATTGAGAATGGAAAACCTTGAGTTACGAGCAAAATTAAAGTATGAAAGTTATTAAAATTAGTTGGAAGTACCTTAAGGAATTCGAATTCTGATTGTAGTTATTTTTTAGGACTTTGGACCTTAAAAAATTAAATTCAATATTTATTATGTTAATTTGGAATTGTATTTGAAAATAAAAGTAAAAATTAATATTAAATGTGTGCATGTTTGCATGATAAAAATTGCATGCATGTATTAACTGGATAACATAAGATACAATATTCTGAAAGTTACATACATGTACATGTACGAGGGCTGTTCGGAAATAATTGATACATTTACTTTATTCCATAAAGGCCAGAGATAATTAAAAGTCGTTAACATCTTATGAAGAAGAAATAAAACAAATGTGGAAAATTTTTGTAATCTATAGGATGATAAGACATGTTACGGTGAAAATATGAACATGCATAGACCTGGTGCAGCCTCGCTACGTCATATTAACGACACGTCAGCCAGAGATGTTTTTGCATGTGAAACGATCGGGAAGCCGTGACTCTTCTTTTTCTTTTATGGCATATAACATTTCAAATAATGTATCTTTTCTTAAACAATGCTTTAAAAATAAAATTTTAAAGAGTGTGCTTTTGCTACCCCAGTGTAAAAACAATATAAGAAGTGACATTACCGATTAATGTTATTTAGTCCGTTATAATTGACGGTCGTCCGAAGCTCTTGTATTTACACTTAATGAATATTTTGCAAGGAAAAATTATACCAATAAATAAACTTTAAAGCATGTCTTTTTTATTGTTATTGTTTTATCAGGTGGTTTAGTTTAGAAAAACCTCTTCATAACGCTACACAAGAATATAGGTATGGTCGTTGCGCCACCTTTACGTCAAATCCATTTTGTCGTCAGTCTCAGATTTCTATACCTCGCTTAATATTTTTATGATCTCCGTATTTCTGATCGAAATTCTAGCAACCTTGAGCAAGTAAAAATCAGATTGAAAAAATTATATACATAAATTAAATTATTTTCGCTCTTACTATTGGTCAACCAGGAATGTTGGTGTAATTTTTTTCATTATCGGATTTTGTGACTGCGCCGGGTACCCCTACTATTGATACATATACATTAATATACCACTATTAAAAAGAAATAAAATATCTAGAAAAAAATTTTTTGCTTTTATTAATTCTTAGCATTCGTCAAACATATATGCAGATTTTCAATGAAAAACTTTCATTTAAAAAAGAATTTTCACATTGTCTCCACAGCCCTCGTACCTATAGAAAAAAAAACTTTTCATCCACATAGCCAACAAATTTTGAATAAATACATTTTTCCTCAGAAATGAAAAAAATCATAAATTGAGAATGAAAGTTGCAACCCTTTCCTTAATTTGCTCACAATATACTTCAATATTTTAAAGAAAGTATTCAAATTCTCATCTCTTCTACCGCATTACACACGGAGCAGTTTGTCATTTCCTTTCTTTCTTTAAACAAATGAAAGTCTTTTTCTAGCGTCTTATTTAGAATTCTTTTATGAAACCTTTGAAGTTTAACATTATTTGTAATTTTGAATGGACTGATCATTTTTCGTTAACTTTATTTTCTACAAAATCAAAAAATAGCATGATTTCATTTTGTATTCCCATCGGTATTGAAGAGTTTATTTTTTTAGATATTAAAATCTAAAAATATTACACTAACGCATTAAATGAACAGGAGTTAAACTTATTGCAAGCTGACGTAGTACGTAATCAAATTTTTTAAAATCTAAATAGGAGAGGAAGTTTTCACATAATAGTAAATTCTAGTCTGAATTGTTTATGCTAATATTTTTATAACACATATTTAAATATTTATATTTTATAGGTTTTTGCCTAAAATATAATTGAGAATTGTTCATTGCTGATATATTTGGACAAAAAATTTCCGATGTCAAAAGAGAGCAAACTAACATCCGGTGAGATGATGGAAAATAAAACATTTTCTGAGGAACAAGGGGAAGTGGTGCCTTTGGAAATTCTCGAAAACTGTTTGTTAACATGCAAACACGGCGCGTGTAAATTTTCCTGCAGCTTCGCAAATAGAGAGCAGTTTACAGAACACCTTAAAGAGTGTTTGTACGTACCGGTTCAATGCCCGAACAATTTCTGTTTATTTAAAACAAGTAGAAATGATATGAAGAAACATTTAGATGAATGTCAATTTTCTATCGATAATTGTCAAGGCTGCAACATTCAAATTGAGCGCAAAAACATGACATTTCACAAAAGTGAGTGTCCAAACAGAATAGTTCCTTGCATGAATAAGTGTTATGGGTGCAAGACAGAGGTTCCGCTGAAAGAACTTTATGTACATCTCAAAACATGCCAATGGCCTCCGCCATTTTGTAAAAAATGTGGTGCAGAATTGCGAAAAGACAAAAAAATACATGACTGTCCGATGGACACCACAGAGTGCCAATTTTGTAATAAAGAAGTTCTTAAGAAGGACCTTCAACATCATTATGAGAATTGTTATTATAAGCGCCAGAGTTATCCAAAGAAATTTTTCAATATTGAAAGCGGGCAATGTCAATGCCTATATTGTGATCATAGAGGCTCAAACTCAAGTATCGAATATCATATGGAAAACTGTATATATAAACCAATCAAATGCGATGACTGTGGCAAAAACATTCATTTATTTAGTTCTTCGTCACACAAAGAAGTGTGTCCAATCACTGTATGTGATAAATGTGGGGACAAAATAAAGAAGTAAGAAAATACAAAATCTGTAGCTATAGACAAGTATTATTTTCAAGTATTGATATTTGTAAAACATTTATTATCTATTAATGGGTGCAAGACACAAGAAAACAAGTATATTTTTAGATATGTTTTTTCTCACGTTCTATTTATCTAATTGCTTTTAGATTAATTTGGTGTTTAATTTATTCATCTGTGCCAATATCTTTGAATATTACAAGAAGTACACCAGCACTGGATTTTTTCAACGAAAAGATTGATTTTGTTTTCACAGATCATCGAAGTTGAAACACTATCTTACAAAATGTAAAGCCAACGAGGATCATTTTTCGTGCAAAACTTGTGAAAGGCGAATAGATGAAAACCTTATAACTAACATGAAAGAGATGGAAGACAACCACCGTATACATGCCGTTAATATTCCATCCTCAGCAACACGGAAACCATCACTGACGGAAACAATGCCTCCTACGAAACCCCCAGTAAGTACTAGTCTCTTATGCAGAATAGAGACCTTTTTAGCTCTCCTGAGCCGAAGCTTTTCTGATAAAAATGTGTCCGTAGTCTGTCGTCGTCGACCTTCTTGTCGTCATTAACATTTCACATTTTCGACTTCTTCTCAAGGACCGCTGGACCAGTTTCAACCAAACTTGGCACAAAGCATCCTTGGGATTTCAAGTTTGTTCAATTGAATGGCCACATCCTTATATTATTCAAGGGGGAGTCGAGATAATTAAGAATAATGAAAAAAATGAATTTGGTTGTATGTTTTAAAAATCTTCTCCAGAACTACTGTGCCAGGAAGAATGAAACTAATAGAGAAGCATCCTTAGGTAGTGTAGATCAAGTTTGTTCAGATCATGATCCCCGGGGTAAGGGCGGGACCACAATGACCAATCAGAGTTGTACATAGAAATATATAGGGAAATTCTATAAAGATCTCAAGAACCATTGTGCCAGGAAGGATGAAACTTATAGACAAACATTTTCAGGTAGTGTAAATTCAAGTTTGTTCAAATCATAAGCCCAAGAGGTAGGGAGCACAACTATAACTAGAGACATGTGCGCAGACGAATAAATTTATTTTCATTGAATGTATTTTTAGTTTAGACTTGTACTTACAAGTGTCTGATCATTTTTAAAATTTATCATATAAATTCGTTGATAATGTAAATTCGTTGATGAATGTTACCCATCAATTGCACCATGAAACTTTATAATTTCACAGTATCTAGTTTTTATAAGAATGACCATATGACAATCTCGATTGGAGTATGCAGTAGCTCTATTTTATGTATACAGATATTACACATACTTTTTTCATAGAAAATATTTACTAAATGCAATTATACTGATATTAAAAGTGACATAAAATGTTTTGCAAACATGTATTTTGGAAAACTCGTAAATTATCCACGTTTCTGGTTAAAATTGTCTTAATTCTGTTTGTTTCTGACTATGACATCCATTTCTAAAATTTATTTATAAAATTTGCTGGAAGCCACTGTATATTTAAACAATAAAATCAGTCCTTGACCTTCTTTATTCAAGTAATGATAAATGTTTTATTGCATTAACAGCCATCAGTAAAAGAACAGCCTGAAAATGATCGTTGGTATGCTGATTTGAACCCGAAGTATCTTTTAAGCTTGTCTGCTTCTCTACCAAGACGTACTAAACCACCAGCAATGTCGTTGCCGGAAACGAACTTTTCATGTGCAAGAAGTCGTCGGCGATTTAGATATATTATGGAAACAGTTCAAGAAAATAATAAGGACTTTCATTCAGCCTTGTCTATGGGGTGCAACCACAGATCTAAAAATTTTACTGGTTAAAGGTATGCAATCATCTTGACATAGGCTCAAGCAAATGTCGACAGGGGATGCTTACTCGTTTCAAGCACCTGATCTTATTTAGGATGTTTCAGAGATTGTGTTTTCCTCTCTTCTGAACTTGTATTGTTTTCAGAATTAATATTTATATTTCCATGTGAAGGATAAAGTTTTGTTACATGCAAGACAAACTTTGAAAATTAAAGGTGGCTGAGGATAGTTTCTGACTAAAATCCTCTCAAAAACTAAAAAAAATAAATAATTTTAAGTTTTTAATGCAGATTATATGTAAGTTGTCTGCTATTAAAGCTTTCTTTGTTTGTCTGTGTCCGTGCTTGTCACCCTCTTTTTCAGTACCACCAGTAACCCCTTGCTGGCATTTTCCGTTAAAAGGCAGCAAAGTACGAGGGGCGTTCAATAAATAATGTCATCAGCTCCATGACAAACAACATAGAAATAATATGACATTAAGCTTGACTTCTTCTCAGGATTGAATCTGTAATGAATAGATAACAGTTTATGTGACCACTTTTCATTAAATACAGTGTAGTTTCATTGTGAGAAGCTGGAAAACAAGGGCTACTCGAGACACTGCGTTAAAAATGAATGGTCAAGAATCAGTAAATTAGAGTAAAATTGAACGCGTCATTAAAGCTGCTGTAAACCTTCTTAATTTCACAACAATATATTAACTGAAATATGTGAAATTGACAGCAACTTATGTCTGTTTCATACACACATTAACAGGTGGATTTCAATTAACAAAAATTATATAATGGTCATCAAAAATGGGTATCCTCCTTGTCAACAAGGACATTCAACAACCAATGTATATTAGCGTTAATTCAACAAATTATCACAGATTATGTTTTATTGACTTTAACTTACATAGCAAATTTGATAGACATCATATCGGGGGTAGTTCACACTGTTTTAAAGAAACATTTAATTGTAAAAAAGTTTAATACTCAAATGTCACCATATATTTAAAAATATGAGTGAAAACGAGAGCGTGCAGAAAATCTAAACAATTATTTTTAAAAAACCAAAAATTGTTCTTATCCACGTTTTTATGAAATTCAAACAGATCATGAAATTTGAATCCATTTTTCGTTGAACCCTCAAAACAAATTTAGAATAAGAAGTCCTTGACAAAACTACAAAGGCCTACGAAGAGCAAAAATTTGCAAGAACACAAAAACAGTTTTATACGCTATTTTCTTAAATACGAGGGGTTATCAAAAAGTTCGTGGACTGAGGCTATAAAATTAGTACTATGTAGTCTGTGCTATCAAAATTTATATGGATCATAAAACAACACAAAATAGAGAAATGTTGAAAATTTCAGCCTGATACGTTCATTTGCCAAATTATTATAAAATGAAAACGACATTATATGATCACCCGGCGCTGTCGTCGTTTATTTTCATGACGTCCGATAACGTCATTGTTTTTTCAATGTCCTCTTCTTCTACCTCATAAACTTTTTTGAGGAGATTCCCTGGAGCTGATTAAGGACTTAAACCCGCCTTGTTTTATGACTTTACAATGTCATTAACAGTGGCCTTCACTGAATATAATATTCCAGATGGATTAATACATTGGGAGAGATCCGCGCTTGATTGTGCCGGCATATTTTGCTTTTGGGAGTTCAATATCTACAACACATGATCAACGTCATTTTTGACGGGATTGATTTTTCACACCTTGACTGCAAATCGACATTAACTGTGTATCCCTTTACTCTCTGAATCTATTTTGACATTGAAAGACAAGTACTCTGGATGCATATTATTTCTCTGTAGCCAGTTTCAACATATTTTAGGTCTATACTATTTTTTTCAGGGGCAAAACTTTATATAATGTTGGAAACAGAAACCCTTCCCCCCTTTTTGACGTCATTTTCAAGGCCTCATTTGTTTGGACATTCCATGTAAAATTTACGATAAAATTTCATAGAACTTCCAGATTAAAGTGAAAATTTCATATTTTATAGAAAAATTGTGTCTCGACACATACCTGAATTAACAGGATTTTTGGATGTCAAATAATCATGTCAAATGAGGTTTTCTCAGTTACACATAAGTCGAAAAAACGTCGTTTTCGAGGTTGCGCCGCTTGGACATACCATTGCTTACAAAAACATTACTAATTTATTAAAAAATAAAATTCATGATTTGTGGTTTATTCTTTGGATAGAAAAGATGATTCTAATTAGATATTTTAGAATTCATTGATGTACCTTGAGCGGTTTTAATTTTATGGTGCTAGTCCACGAACTTTTTGATAACCCCTCGTATTAGCGGTCTTGTTGTTCAAATACATATATAGGGAGGTAGTTCAATTTCTGGAGGAGTCTAGTAAGCAAAATATTTGCCAAAAAATTGAAAGGTTTATGAGAAGAAGGAAACAGAATGAGGAATTCACTACATTAAATGTCTTCCTGACAGCGTCCAAACCCACAGGCCATGAAATTTTAAGGAGTTTTGGGGTAAACAGAAAGTTTATGTTTTATCACTTCAACAATATTCGCCAGATCTTTCAATCTTTGACTTGTTTCATTTCCCAAACTTAGGAAAACACCTTTCAGAAAGAAAAAAGCAAGCACAGCAAATCATAGGATCTGCCATTTTCCAGTATACGAAGGGTCATACTCAATTGTCTATTCTGCAAAATTTTAAATTTTGAGGTTTCATTTGTAAACTTTACGGAAGAGTATAGCTGCTAATCAAAAAAAATAAGTCGAGATACAAAGTTGTATGTATTAGATATATAGTCTGACCTATGAGATAATAATGAACGTACGTTCAGTACAGGCCACAAGTTCACCCCAAAATATGGGCCCTTGAAACAAAAGTCCACGCATATGCGTGGACCTAGAATCACGTCGGCCTCTTGGTAATCAGCGTTTCCGTGGCCGTGTAATACGGTGTATCACAGTTCCCAATTTCGGAATTGAGAAAAAATTTTCTCATTTTCGTCATTTTAGCTGATTAAATCATCTTCCATTTGACAAATTTGTTGTACTTTTCCATAAATATTCGTAATTTATCAATATACAGTCGTTTAAACTAATAAGATACCCTAACATATACATGTATATCAACATGCTCGTGTCCAGCCCTAAAAAAGGGGGAAAACATCTTTAATGTGTACATTACGTTTCGAAATAATAATTATATTAGACATGAAATTAGGTTCATAAATTAATTACGTGGATGCCTTTACTTTCAATTTTAATTTTAACCGTGTTCTTTCAAATTGTTCATATTAGATCGTTTTTGTTTCTTGTACGTATGCATTCATATGTAGTACATATCAGATGCGTGAATTTATTGCTGAATTATTTCGTAAGACTTTGAAAAAATATTCTAGCACTAAATATATATTTTTTAAAAGTACATAAAAATAAATGTACTAGAAAAGTCTAGAATTTTTTTTTTTTTTAATCAGACTCGCACAGTACTGCGAATAAGTCTAAAACTGCACCACACGGGCGACTGACTTAAAATGAAAGGACACATAAAAAATAAAAGATTGTTAAATTACATGCTAATCAATTTCTTTTTTGATGTATTACATATGTATTACTTTGTGTTCATGCATGTGTACGAGGGGTAATCAAAAAGTTCGTGGACTAGCGCCATCAAATTAAAACCGCTTTAGGTACATCAATGAATTTTGAAATATTTAGTTAGTGTCATCCTTCCTATCTAAACAAAAAAACATAAATTATAAATCTTATTATTTGATAAATTAGTAATGTTTTTGTAAGTATGTCCAGGCGGCGCAACCTCGAACAGGACGTTTTTGCGACCTAAGTGTAATTTAGAAAAAAAAATCATTTGATAGGAACATTTGACATCCAAAAAACCGTTAATTCAGGTATGTATTGGGACACAATTAGTTGCATAAAAAATGAAATTTTTACTTCATTCTGGAAGTACTATGAAAGTTTATCCTAAATTTTTACATGGAGTGTCCAAACAAATACGGCCCTGAAAATTGCGTTAAAAGGTAGAGGGGTTTCCTTTTCCAAAATTCTATAAAGTTCTGCCCTTAAAAAAACTAATATAGACCTAAGAAATGTTTAGACTGGCTACAAAGAATTATTATTCATCCAGAGTTCTTGTTTTTTAAAGTGAAATAGAATCAGAGAGAAAAGGGATGTTCTGTTCATTCCAATTTGTAGTCAAGGTATGAAAAATCAATAACGTCAAAAAATGAATTTAATCATGTGTTGTAGATTTTGAACTCCCAAAATATACTGGCAAAATCAAGCGAGGATCTCTCCCACTTTATAAATCCGTTCGGAATATTATATTATATTCATTGAAAACCGCTGTTCCTGGCCTTGTAAAGTCATTTAAACAAGGCGGTTTTAAGTCCTTACTTACCTCCAGGGAATCTCATCAAAATAAGAGCATGAGATAGAAGAAGCGGACATTGAAAAACAATAACGTTGTCGGACGTCATGAAACTAAACGGCGATTCAACAGGTGATCATGTAATGTCGTTTTTATTTTATAATAATTTGGCAAATAATAAACTTATCAAACTAAAATTTTCAATTTTTTTTAAAATTTTTAGTTGTTTTATGTTTCATACAAATTTTAAAAGCACAGACTACATAGTACTACATAGTACTAATTTTTAGAGCCTCAGTTCACGGACTTTTTAATAACTCCTCGTACTAGTGTATTGTAAATTGCATGGTGTACACGTATTGCTGCGGGAATCCAACATTAAAATCTACCTTTTAGACAAAGTATTTATTATGTATTTGAAAAGGAAGTAAACTAAAATCTTTTATTGCTCAGTTTCTTTCTCTTCTTTTATATGCTTTTTAATTTACCAATCAGAAAGGAGAAGTTTTTCTTCATTCAAAAAACCTATGAGAAACATTTATTTAGCGATGCACACACAATGAATAAGGTAATTAATTCATATCGAACATTTTCCTGTTTGTTAATCCCATTCATTTTTATTGCCTTTTGCTTTAACATCAAATAAGAAAATGAGTCTCGTAATATATATTCTGTGTTGTTTTAAATGTGTTGAAATGCAACATAATAAACATACTGTATCAACATTTTGATATCTTGGTTTGTGAAAATTGGAAAAGCCAACCTAGGGCTTAAAAAACCAGGCCGAAAGGAGCAACTTTATATAAAAGTCTTATCGAGTGAGTGTAAGATGATTCTTTTACTTTTACGTATCATTTTCAATGTCAGGGTACCTTTATGAACGATTGAAAAATATAATTTTAACTAATGGTCGTGGAGCAAATACAATTAACTTTGATGCATAACAATTCCAGATATTGTGTTATTTTATGCTTTGGAAAGATACGCATTTGCATCGGTTTTCATTATTATATAATTTTTCTGGTTTTTACTATGCATATACCTGTATTGAATTTAATTGTAATTTGTCACTGCTACACAAATCTTAACAAATTTAAATAAAATGCTTTGGTAAAAATTATCAATGTGTTTTCATTAATACATTTTTATATAATTTGAAACAGGAATGATTAAAAAGAAATTTTCCCATAAATATAACTTATTATTAATCATCCGTATAAGCAAATTTTATTCCATTCCATTACACATTGACATCTGCTGTTATATAAAGAATCAAATTAGTTGGTTCTTATAAACGTATTCTTCATAAACAGCACATTCATGGCAACACGAAAAGAAATAAGCTTACAAAGAAGATTACAAAAATTACAGGCATATTTTCTTCTTATTTCTTACAAGTTGCAGCAAATCGTGATAGAGAAGTTAAAATTGAGGAAGTGTAAGCTGTTCATCTTGTTGAAATGGAATCTTTTCTATCTATGTCTGGTACATTACTCGGGCTTCTTCTAATAACGAATAGTAAGGCTTATGGTAAGTTTGTTTGTTTGTTTGTTTCATAACGTCCTATCAAAACATTTTTCGCTCATTTTGGAACACCACTCCTTCCCGGTGAAGGGGTGCATATGTAAATCTGTACTCAGCACTTTCAATAGTGACGGTGCTTTCTTCGTGCAAGCGGTTGATGCAGTTACATTCGAACTATCGGTCTCTATGTCCCGCCGTGTAATCAAAACCCACAGATATAAAAATCAACTCCTTACCACGTGAGTCTAGATCAAACGCTCCGACATCTGCAACAGACGGGCGACTCTCATGGTAAGGATAGTAAGTATATGGTAGTGAAAATGAGATATATAGTTAAGGCAGGAGTAAATTTGAATATGTATATATGTTTTAGAACTAGAATATTCTTTACCGTTAAATATCAATTATATATACATGTAATTTTCGCAGTCTATGACCATTTCTGAAACTGATAGCAAAAATCTTTAGGGTAAATTTCCTCTCAATAATGACATTGATATAAAGAGAAAGAACTATATTCAGTATCTTTGCCCCCACAATAGTCAAAGTTTGGAAAATTCTTAAAATGTGTTAAATTGTATAAATTGTATGAAAAATATAAATTAACAAAACATATTATAGTTTCAAAGTAGATTGTTCACATTTTTTTGTTTTTATGGCGTCACAATATAGTTGGATTTTGCATTATTGATTAGAAAGAGGACAGATTGGACAAATTTTTCTACAATTTTAACTACAAAATTTATAGAGCGCAGGTCTGCTCAGGAACAATATTTGCATATTTGATTGATATTATCATTCTACACATTATATAAAATATTGAGTCTGAGCATACCTGCGCTCGGTGACTTTTATTCAAAATATTGACGTAATATTTACATTTTCTTTAGAAATCACGGAAATTTTAAATTAACGTCATTTTCCTGACGTCATTTCAAACATATGACGTCATTGCAAATAAAAATATGTAGTGCTTTGAGTTTAGCATGTATCCCCCTGTTTAAGAACATAATTAAATATTTCTCCGTCAGAGTTTGATTTTTGGGGGGCAAATATTGGTAATAACCGAATAAAGTCCTTCGAAACCAAACCAACCATCCTGATGATAGCAAGACTTTACAGAGTAAATTTCTCCCCAAAGAAAATCACTAATTCACTATTTATGACTAGAAAAGTGAATTTCCTCTCAAAAATGACAACCAAATATAATCTAATATAAACACTTATAGTTCATTATACAACATATTAAGTGGATTTGAAGTCGAATTCACTGGGAGATCAATGCGCGTGCAGCGGCATTGTGACGTCACAATCTACAATAATTATATCTCGAATATATATCTCATAATATTTGCATATCCACTGCTCTCTCCCACTATGAACCTGCCGGCTTCAACTGCATTCGTAACACTATAGAAGCAACTGCTCCTGATATGACTGCAATTGCTCTTTCGCTCTTGTGTAGTATAAGCTCTACTACACATTATTTCTTTGTTGAGAAGGAAATGTTTCGTAAAAGGAATAAATATAAGTTTTTAATAATATTTTTTGTCAAAAAAGAAATTCAGAACAATTTAAAATTGCTGATTTATATCTTTAAAAATTTAATTTTGGTCAATGTATTTAATTGTATTAAAAAAATTAAAAATTGAAGAGAACTGCCATATTTTTTATTATTTTCTTATCGCATATTTGTACAATATTCAACTTCTGTGATTTTCTTTTGGTGGCGATTGACAACTTGCAGATTGCGTTTTCCAAAGGAAATTTGGGCAATATGCTGAACCCGTCAACGGATGACCTATGAATGAAATTTTAGGACTCTTAAATCATTTCATAGATTTTTGTACTTTAATTTTCCAAAGATATGGACATTTATTTCAGGCTCGAATAATTATAGACTGGGTAAAACATGAAATGAGAAAAGAGAAACGAGAAAGAATGGAATGGAATCAGATTCAGCATAAAATAGCTAATGACATAAAAATGTCAGCAAATGAGGACAGCTTTAACTTTTGATTTCATTTTCTTCGAATACAGATGCAACCCGCAAAACTATCTCTCTCACACACACAAAAAAAAAAAAATAAATGTTGACAGATTTAATTGATACGTACAACATATTTTACTTAAAGAAATATTTACTAATTTTTTGTTAGAATAATAATGTTGTCTTCAAATGATACCAATAGTGACAAGTAATATACATGTGTAATATGAATGGCTTATATCTTTTCTTTCAAAAGGCATGGCCAATTTAAAGCAATGTAAAATTGTTGAAAAGTAAGGTCAAAAATTTTATCAAATTTGGAAAGGTTTTGTTATAGGTTATGTACATGTTAAACATAAAAGTTTTATAATCTGTTCTCATTCAAATTATGAGTTTTTGTGACAGACAGACAGACAGACAGCGAATAAGATTTTTTATCCCCCCACTTTTGCGAAAGTGGTGGACAAAAGTAGTAGCTTCAGAAATCTTTCTTGCAGATAATCTATTAGAAAATAGCAAAATGCTTGTTATTACTGAACTGGGACGACCGGTCTATGGAGCGGAGAATATCATAGATGGGAATCCTTCTACATGTCTAGACACTGAACGATTCTACAGATCGATATTGTGTTTTGACTTCACAATTGTGCAGAGTTTCTACGAAGTTGCTGTCTCTCTTGGTAACAAGTTCTTTTAATTTTTATATTGAATGTTTTCCATGTTCTGTGAACAATGCAAACTAACCCATCGCACAGTGTAGGTTCCCAGGTGCATTTATTATTTTGTACACGCAAAATTATGATATGTACCGAAGCTAAGAAAGTCATTCAAGTTACAAAATTCTTTGAATTAAATATTTTATATGTAGAATGAAATGTAGAGCTAAAATTCTTTCCTTCAATGGGTATGAAATCAAAGAGAGATAATTTTATTGTGAAAATCACCAAATCACAAAAGAAGCAACGCCGAAGAATGCCATTTGTGATGCTTACAAGAAATACAGAAATGTTGAACAGTACAAGTTATCAAACTGGATAGTTTTTGGAACTATGCAATAAAGGAGAAGAGAAAAAACTAATCAGGTGCCATATAGAAAGTAAGACATGTTATACCAGTATGACAATGAGCACATGTTATACCAGTATGACAAGGAGCACACAGCGGGTGTGACCGGTCGGCAGGGGATGCTCACTTCTGCATGGCACCTGATCCCACCTCTGATGTTTCGGGGTCCCTGTTTGCATTGCTCTTATTTTGTATTGTTTTATGGACTTTAAGATTGCCTACTGTTCGTTATCTCCATATCCTTCTTCGATCCAATGGTTGCACACGCTGTGTGCTCCTTGTATGATCGGACGAACGGAAAATCTGTAAACAATTTATTGTTGTACACGGTTAAAGAATTGGTGTGAAAAGACTTACTTCATTATCTTTTTTTTTTTTTTTTTAGATTTTTTAGATTCATGGTATCCCGACGACATGTATATAATACGATTATCAATTTATGTAAGTAATTCAACTTCTGTGAAGGATAGATCTCTGTGTGGTTCAGAATACGTGGACGTTGCACACAGAAGATCTTATGTTGTGAAAAGAAAATGCATGGATCAAGGGCGTTTTATCGTGTTGAAAATTTGGTTGGATGGAGGACGTGAATACCGACTCTTCATTTGTGACATCAGTATAACAGGTAAAGGTGATTTTATAACTTATCTTTTCTCTACACTTGTATTAGTTTGATGCAAACCATTACAAACCAATATTTAATAATCATTGTAGAAAGCACTGAACAATTTTGATACATACATTTTACTTAAAGCAATGCCCTGTTAAATTGTATTTGTACATTAAATGTCTACATTTATGTACATTGTACAATTGTCAATCCAAATTCATTTTGATAAAATAACTAATTTGTGGAACTTCTGAGTCCTTAACATTTCTGAGTACTGTCATTAACCCAACTCACGGCTATTGTACTTTCACAGAATTTCGAGAAACCTGCCTTCATACTCCATTTTCGTAAAATCAAAGTACTGAAAGTACTGCTACGAGTTGATGGTATTGTTTGTACGTTGTTTAACACACAGGTGCTTGGGGACAGGAACACCCCCCCCCCGTGTTCCGTACCCCAAGGATTCTTTGACTTTTTTTTAATAAAATATTTTTCTATGATATATTTTCAAAGTATTACAACTGAAAAATCCAAAATTTATGCTAAAACTAGCCCAGGACCGGTCGCCACGTCCCATAGTGGGATTCGAACGCACGATGTAAGGATCAACTACTTACTGTTAAAATGAGTTGAGGTCACTGATACATATTTCGGTTTTATGTATTATGTGCTCTGATGAAAAAAATAAATTAAGCAGCTTTTCACACATATATTTCAAACTAAGAGGATCAACCTTCAATAGGGAATTATAACTTACAAAGAGCGCAAATGAATAAAATCATTAATATGCACAATAATATGCACATCAAATATGTTCACTATTTTCATAAATTGACAAATAATTTGACATTTTCAGTGCACATCAATATGTTTTTTCTCGTGATTGAGCCACTCTTAAATTTCAAATCCTCTATTTTCATTGATTTGCATATTACAAAATTCAAAATTTTGATTTGTTTAATATGGTTATTGAAATTCGGCTCCTCGTCTTTCAAAATGTGCATGCATATTTGATATAGTATTTTCCTAATTTAGCCACTCGTGAAATTCAACTCCTTGTCTTGTATGGTCTTTGATATGCAAAATAAAAACGGCAATTCTCCCGATTTAGCTGCTCTTAAAATTCAACGCTTTTTGACTTTTAGTTGAAATGAACATTTTAATTTTATGTTTTTTTTCGTTTGGTCTAGACAGTCTTGAAATTTATCTACCTGACTTCAATTCATTGATTTGCACATGTAATATTTCATTTCTATCAATTTAGCTCTTTTTTAATTCAATTACATGACTTTTTTGATAAATTCATGAAGGATTAATATTTCAATTCTTTTTGGCTTTTTGACTGAAGACTAAAACTTTATCACAATGGCATGGTATATTAATCGTTTACATAATCTATTTACTATTGAATATATTTGATTTTTCAGTCTCTTGATTAACATCTATAAACAAACATTTCTCATTTTATTTATGAATAACATCCGATCTAATCTTTCTGTATTTCTTTTTTTTTATTATTATTTTTTTACTGTCTTCTGACTTTAAATTTACTGTATCACATTGCCAGCATCTGATAGTAAGACACAGCTGGATATAGTAAAGGAACTCTCTTTCCAGAGTAGCGCAGACAATGAGATAAGAATCACAGGCATGTTAAATGACCTTTACTGTATTTAACGAGGCTGGGGTGTGGCAGCCATTTTCAGGCTATTTTTATCTCCTTTAAAAGAAGAGCTCCATATAAAGATATAAAAAATGATCAAATTTTAAAACTAAAATATATGAATTTTTTCTTTGTCAAATGATAGTTGACAGCTTAAGATACCATATGTAAAAAAATAAGTTAAATCTGGTGGTTAATTTATGATTAATTTGTTGACCCCCCAGCCTCCTTAAAACTTGCTGTGATGCAGATCTAAATTGTGGAAGACAGTGGTTCTTTTACTGTTTGCACAAGAAGTAATGGCATTTACATAAAAATATTTTATCAACTGGTACAGCTCATTTCTTCCCTTTCAGATTAATATTTGATTTACTTCGACTATCTAACTAGGTGTTTCTCGCTTTGTTTACAAACATAAGTAGTGTTCTATATATAAACACTTCATCACTAGTTATCGCTGGAAAATTGCACTGGTCATTAGCATACTGGATCAGCGCAAGGATTAGCTTGTTTATTTATATACCACTAATACGTCATGCAGTCTTGTAAAAATAACGTGGTTTGTACAATATCTAATTGCGTAAATTTTCTTTCAAAATCTATTTTCAAATTACTTAAAATAAGTTGAATTAGTTGAAAATACTAGTATTTATAGACTTAAAAATCAAAACTTTGTTTGCACGACATGTCACAATTTTTGACTGCATGCCCCTTGCACTATTTTCTCTCGCGGATTGACACAAATTCCAAAAAATAAAATAATAAGTATTTAAGTTTATAAACACTTCAAATCATATCAGGAAACATATTCTTATTCTGTAGATCATGAATATGTAAATAAGCCAAAATTATACAAGAATCTGTAGGCAAAATGCTCAAACGAAAATGTGATTAGTTTCGATACATGGGGAATCCCTTACCAGTAACATAACTTGAGTTGATGCCATCAACTCGTAAAAAAAAAATATCAGTATGCTGCACTTTGCCACTGATGTGACTTTATTTATTGAAAATAATGGTAAACATTTAATATGTAATAATTGGTCATGGAAATCTATATAATTATTAATGAGCTACTAATATCCATATCAATAAATCACAGAATTATAAATATGATTAATGTGTAAACAGTGATTATGTTATGTGGCGTAATACGAGGGTCATTCGAAAAATACGAAGACAATGTTCTGATTATATTCATATTATTATAAAAAGATTATAGATCAACACATTTTCGTAAATAAAAACATTTAACTTGTCGATGTGTGAAGTTTCATTCAATTTCATTAAATTAAATCATGCTGGCCATTTTTTAAAGCAACATGTTTTGATACCACAGAGCACGGTTAACCAACATTGTAACGTCAAAACAACATTGCGAAAGTTTCTCAAAATTAGACTGCGTGGCGTCTCCTCCAGATAACAACTGTGCAAATAGCTTGAACTAGATTGTCATTGTTTTCAAATTCCTTAGGCCTACCGCGGAACTCTATTACTTCCGTAGCAGTGAAGCGCACATCACGTTTAATGACGTCCTAACTCTTTTGACAAGATTTTCAACTATAACCTGTTTCTTTGCAGACCTTCCATCGTTTGATTTAAACTTGCTACCACTCAAAAAATGTATTTTCCATTTTATACGAATACACGACTTATTTCTCATACATTTCTTGGTTTATACATATTTTTTAAAGTTTGTTAAGGAGATTTCCCGAATGGAAAACAAAATTTTATTGCTACTCGCTGCTCCGTGACGTCCTCCAACGCCATGCTTTTTTGTCTTTTTAAATGAAGTCCATATGTATTTAGAGACTGATACCTTTTAAACGGAACGATATATAACACTACCTCATAACATCTTAAGTAATACAGCAAGAGTGAATTTAAAGGTACTTGGACACATATTTGAAGTTAATATTTTCTGTATAATATCACGAATTATATTTTTTAATAGCATTTCACACAAAAATTAATTAAAAATCTTATTTCATTTAAAAGTTATTAAAACTTTAAATTTTTTGGCTGGTTTGATTGACACATCCTTGTACTTTCACAAATTTTAACTTTATTCTTAATACTTTGGAAAAATGGCAATCTTGTTGTGTTTAAATGAGAAATATTAAAACTTAAATCCAGAAAAAAATATTTTTATTCAGGGTAGAAATGTTAGAAAGCAGAACTCCTTCACAAGCATCGTCATTCCGTTGTGTACAGAGTTTTGCGAATCGATCACACTCGTGTTATGTACAGTTTTTTGTAAACATGTTATTGTTTGATGTTTACGATTCACCGGGTGCTTTTAATCGCCAAAGTCTGTTCACCACAAACGCACGGACTTACAATATTGTGTGTTTGTTTTGCTTTCGAACATGTCTACTCTGAATTTTCTGGATTATAGTATTAATATTTTTCATTAATACACATCAAGATATATTGGTAATGGAGAGTTGCTGATTGACAAATGCACTACATTACGCCTCAGCAGGCTCTTGCGTATCATATGCATTAATGACAGTCCGTGGACCGTAAGTTCAAGTGTTTCTTAACTGCGTTAGATTAGAGAAAATTCGACCTTATCACCTGAAAAATAGGCATTTAAAAATACCAAAGAATATTTCCTTTGCTCAGATCTCTATATTGATGAACCTATTGCATCGAAAAAATAAAGCTGCAATTGTTGTGTAGGTTAATCTTGCACGCTTCAATTAAATATCTGAGAGGGGGTGTTTTAACAGTCATGTGGGACTTTTTAAAGTTAACAGATAATCATTTAATATCTAATGCTTTGTAAAGTAAGTTTAGCCTTACTGGGTTCATTTTTGAAAATCATTTGATAAAAATTCAAATATTTGTAGATTACTGCTTGATGCATTTCTTTTGCATTTCAGTAAAGCAAAGTAGAAAAACACTTTTCAAGTTTAAATCAGAAATCCTTTTCACACATGCGTGTGATAAATTTATCAAATATTTTTTTAGTATTATTTTTTAAAAACTTCTGATTAGAATTTTTTGTCATATTTAAAATGTGTGAAGGTTTTTTGAAAACAAATAATGTAATATACACGTACTAGTTAATGCTTCTCCTACAGTATATATTGAATTCCCTATTTGGGGCAAAAAAATTATCATAAAAAATGATTTTGCTGATATCCTTTGAAACATAACTACCTTGCTTCAGGATGTGAAAATGGGAGGTTTGGTGAGAACTGCACCGGGAATTGTTCAGAAAACTGTTTGGGAAAATCATGCGACATTTTGGATGGGAAGTGTTCGAGCGGAATTTGTTCAGATGGTTGGCAAGGGGAGGACTGTAATCAAAGTATGTTAGATTTAATGTTTATGTTTTGTGTATGAATCGTAAAATTTAAAGATTTTCCAGAATTTTCCACGATTTTTTAGAAATACTAAAATTGATATGAAAAATAGATCAGTAAGATGTACATTGGAAAGTAAAAATAGTCTGAGTCAACTATGTACAATACGCAAATTTTCACTTTTTTCACTATCGATCTTCATGGGATTTATTTCTTTTCTATCTAAGTTTATGTCATCCTTAATTGTCCATTAGTATAATAATGCTGTCAAAATATATAAAATAAGTATTTCAGGGTCAATAGTTTTATGCAAGAATAATATGTCAATACGCAGGATTGTTAATGCTTCATAAAGCGGCGTGGCTTAAGTTATACAGGAAAAGTTAACCTTGATATCACACAAAAAATAGCTAGTCCTAATAATACTAGTATCAGGAAACGAAGCAATTTGCAATGCTTTACTTCTTGTTGCTACATATAGTTACGAGGGGTGGTCAAAAAGTTCGCGAAATAATTAAATAACTTCCATAAAAGAAGTGATATAGGGTTAAAGTGTTGACTTTTGTCTCAAAGTAGTCCTCTCTGATTTTAATTTAATGCGCGTCTTCAACCGTTCTGTCCATGCGCGGATCACGTGATATAGACAGGGTCAGGTGACATGCTCCGTAGCGTATGTGGATGGTCAGATGGAAAAAAGACAAAATGTGATCGAAAAGGCCACTAGATCTTCCAGGTTAGATGAGATAAAAAGTCTACCCAGCGTCAATTATAGCGGCACAAATATGAGAATAACGAAAAATAATTTCTAGACTATCATTACATGTACAGCTGAGCAAAACAAATGAGAAAACGAAAAGGCAGATATATCACTTTTAACGTTTTTTTGGCATAAATGTATCAAAGTGATATAAACAAACGCTACATACAAGTTTCTGTCCAACATCAACACCTTTTCTTCCTACAAATTTGCGACTTGCACATAATGCTGAATAAATATATGAACTTCTTTACCACATCTCTCTCTCTCTCTCTCTCTCTCTCTCTCTCTCTCTCTCTCTCTCTCTTCTCTACCTCAGTAATTATTCTTCAAAACATAATATCGATGACAATGTGTGCAAATTTTTACTGTGTACATGTATATATCGCCGACAACAAAATGCGTTGATGCGTTACCGTACATTTTGTCAACAATTATGTAGAAAAAAATAAGCCAAGTCCTGACAGATATTGTCACTGGCGACAATATGTACTGCTTGACGACAAAATGTGCAGTGAGGTTAGGTACATATTGTCACCGACGATAATATGAACCGTCACAAGGGTATCTATTTGTACACGTTTATTTCCCATTTCCCTAGTGCAAACAGTTTTCTATAAAAGTTTGTGAGTATTGCTGGACAAGAACGGGGATGGAATCTACAAAATAAATAAATTGAATTAATAAGTTTATATAAAATTTCTTTGACAAATAAAGAATGTCCCAATGGAACCTATGGATACCAATGTAACTCATCTTGTGGAAATTGCAAAGACATTGTGAATTGTAACCATGAGACCGGATATTGTAATGGTGGCTGTGCCGAGGGATCAATGGGATTGAAATGTGACAAAGGTTCTGTTTTTAAAATGTTACACTTTTTTTGTATTTTTTTACTTATTTTCTGTCTAAAAGTTTTGTTTTGTATTTATAATTTTTTTTTTTCATGGATGTTAAGCTTTTGCATTGTTTTAATTTTATTTTTGCAGAATGCCCATATGGATTTTACGGAAAAGAATGTTCTGACCGTTGCAATATGACCTGTGGATATAAATCTGAACAGCAAAGTATACCAGGTTGTATAAATTATACCAAATACGAGTTATCAAAAAGTTCGTGGACTGAGGCTATAGAATTAGTAACCTGTGCTTTCAAAATCTATATGGAACATAAAACAACAACAAATAAAGAAATGTTGAAAAATTTATCTTGATACGTTCATTTTTTGCCAAATTATTATAGAATAAAAACGGCATTATATGATCACCTGGCGCCGTCGCCGTTTAGTCTCATGACGTCCAATAACGTTCTTTTTTTGCAATGCCCGCTTCTTCTACCTCATACACTAATTTTGATGAGATTCCTTGGAGCTGAGTAATTACTTAAACCAGCTTTATTTATATGACTTTAGAATGTCATGAACAACGACTTTTCATGCATTTAATAATACAAATAGATTTGTACATTTGGAAAGACATTTGCTTCATTGTGCCAGCATATTTTGCTTTTTGGAGTTCAAAATCTACAACAGATGATCAAGGTCATTTTTTGACTTGACTGATTTTTACACATTGACTTGACTGATTTTTTACACAATGACTACAAAATTGAATTTATTGTGCATCCCTTTTCTATTTAAATCTATATTGGCATTAAAAGAAAAGTACTCTGGATGCATATTATTTATCTGTAACCAGTTTAAACATTTCCTAGGTCTTAAACAGTTTTTGTAGGATCAAAACTTTATAAAATGTTGAAAAAGGAAACCCCTCTCCCTTTTTGACGTCATTGTCAAGGCCCTTTTGTTTGGACACGCGATGTAAAATGTACGATGAAATTTCTTAGAAATGTTAGAATAAAGTCAAAGTTCCATTTTTATAGAATAATTGTGTCCCAACACATACATCAATTAACGGAATTTTTGGATGTCAAATGTTCAAATCAGAAGAGTTTTCCTTAGTTACACTTAAGTTGTGTTCGAGGTTGCGCCGCCTGGACGTACCATTGCTTACAAAAATATTACTAATCTATTAATAAATGAAATTTATGAATTTTTGTTTATTCTTTAGATAGAAAGAAGATACTAACTCGATTTTTTTTACAATTCATTGATGTACCTAAAGCGGTTTTGATTTAATGCCGCTAGTCTACGGACTTTTTGATAACCCCTCGTACATTTTATATTTCAGCAAGCACAACGATCGTACCAAGTGTAAGAGTAATGGTGAAACGCAGGTAGCCCATGGAAGAAAATTATTACTTAATAGTTCTCAAAATGATTTGTTTTTGTATCTATGTATATTACCAAGTCCAAAAGTGTAACTTAGGCCCAATATTCATTAAAACATTATTAGTTTGTACACTGTATCCGATAAGTATTATTATGAGGACGAGGCAGGTTCTGTATCGTAGATACAAATTTTGTGGCGGACGAATGCGTAGCACTCCGCCGCCAAATTTATATTTACGATACAAAACCTGTCGAGATCTCTAAAGGATTTCTGACAAAATCTATCAAAATGACAACCTCCCACTTTTGCCTGTGCAGAATGGTTCACGGTAAAAAAAAAATGCGGCATTCTTTAGTTAAATTCGCCTCCTCCCCTATTTTTGTCATCTCCCTCGGGAGTGAAGTCCTAGTGTAAGCCTCCATTAATCTCTCGGGAATCCTCGATGTTTTACAATATCTAAAGTGAGAATCTACACAAGGAGTTCCAAGTAGCCTTTAAACTGGTTTTATTTTAGAAGAACTAGCTTAGAAGTGTGTGATCTACTTTCGGTTTAGGCCTATTGAAAGGCAAGAAAAATTTAAAAAAGAAGTACGATGCTTATAAATACCTATATTTCGGTGTGTCGTATATATATTGATCTTATTAAATTGGTTAGCCACACAAGGAGAATTGACAATGACGTGATTTTTACATATAGATTTGTTGACGCAAAGGGAAAACTGCTTCTCGCACAAAAGAACAAGCTTACAGGTGTGCGATCAATAGACCAAATCCAGGTTAAATAAACCTCACAGCAGGGACTGCGATGCTTAAATTTATATGCATGCTTTACAGTAGAAATAAATACAAATAAATATGCAAAGCATTTCATTCAAAGATTAAATTAGATTCTGCAAAAAATGAATGAAGAGTGGTCAACGCTAACGTTATGCCTAATTTTATGTTAATTTTTTAGTCTGTAATTGGATTTATTAATTTAATTCCTGTCAAACTTTAATGATTAGCTGCTTTTAAATGATAATTATTGTCAGACACTTCCTTCATACCTCTCTTAGAAATCCTTGAACATTTTTTATAAATATCGGTAAAATGAATCAAAAGCAGTCTGTGATTAGTGTACAGCATGTACAATAAGAAGGAAAAATCACTTTTATAGGCATTAATAAATATATAGGTAGTATCCATATCTAATAACTGCGTTTTACCCTGCCCCTCATTTTCCCTAAAATGTAAGTGAACAAAACGTAGGTAAAGGTGGCTTCTTTCGGAAGGTTTAAATACTTGAGCTACGTGGGTAGAAATAATCTTTGGATTGCTCTTGCTTATGATAAAATACCTGTCAGCTTAGTTTTCTGTTTGCTGAATAAGTCATTTGGGAACTTCGGGTGTAATAATCCATCTATTCATTGCATTAAAATATTTCCCTTTCTGTTTTATTTCTTTGAAATTATTGATACCAAAGAGATGACATTTCAGGCTTTCTGGAAAGCCAAACTTGTTTCAATTCATTTCGAGTCCGTTTTTTGACGTTTTGATTTTTTAAAATTTCTTCTTAAATTCTCATCGCTGACAACTGAGTCACATCTCTCCGTTTTTAATGTTGAATTTCCATTAAAAAACATCTGCGACATCAAAGTCCACTGAAGAGCTGTCTGTTCTTTGAAACACAGATTTTAATAGCCCTCAAATATATCAGGATCAATCTCTATAGTGTCATAAAAAGTTACATAGAAAGTAAAATTGTCCACTTCTACGTTATCTATTTTGAAATCAAGGCAATTACATTTACTGTGATGTGAAACCTAATCTGACTATATCTTGGAAATATATACTGGGGATGCTGCCCAACTAAAAGTAGGAGGTGCTTATTGTGATAGATTGTGTAAAAAGAAGGATATGGAGATAACGAACAGTATTCAATTTCAAAGTCCATAAAACAATACTAAAATAAGAGCAGAGCAAACACGGACCCCCGAAACTTCAGAGGTGGGATCAGGTGCCAGGGAAATCGTTTAGAGAACTCAACAGGTCCTTATTAGATACAAATTTGGCGGTGGAGACTCGTGGGACACACTCGTCCACACCCAAATTTGTATACGATTCAGAACCTGTAGAGTTCTTTAAATAATACTTATAATGACTTACATATTAATAGTGCAGTATTCAACACAACCATGTAGTTTTTAATTGTTTCATTTTTTTAAAAAAATGAATAAGATATTTTAGTACGCATGTTATGGATTTTTTTTCTGCAACAGCTTCAAAATTAGTTCCTGAACTAACAACCAAAGAAAGCATTCATTTCATTGTTTGAACTTTTTTTAATTATTCTTCCAAATAATGTACAGTCAAAGACTGTTCAATAATTAAAGTGTTTTATTTTATTAGAGGAGACAAATACCCGTAAACTTACTTCTGCAGACTTCAACAAAACGACCGTGTATGCTATGGGGTCTGCACTGACACTTTCCTTGCTAGTGAATATTCTATTCGCAGCAATGTGTATTATAAGGTATATCTCTCTCCCTCTCTAACAACCATTGTTGAAAATCAAAATTTTAAAAAGATTCATCTTAATGTTTGATAAAATATATATATATATATATTTCAATCAGAAAGATGTTTTGAGTTCGTATAGAAAATACTTATAATATTTTCCATCTTTTCCATATTGTCTGCAGATTTCGTGTAACAAAGAAGAATGATATTTATGATAAACCTTCATCGATGTATGTAAATGTAAGAGCAGATCACAAACAAGATAGACAAAACAACAAACCTTCAGAAGGAATGGAGTTAGACCAACAGAAGGTGCAATATGAGGCTGTGCGGATCCCCTGCAATGAAAATCATTACGAAGATTTAGAATAAATAATATCGTACAAATTAACTCCATTGTCAAATTAGTTTAAAATTTCAAACGTTAGGTGAAGCAGGTATGACTTAAGACATCTTTAGCGGAGAACAATATTTTTAATACAACATGCAATAGGGAATAAGAATCCTTGTGACACGTTAGTGTTTTGCTGATATATTACATAGCTATTTAAAATAGTCTGATGCGACATTGGACACTTAAAAGACAGGCTTTGATTCAAAGATCGATACTGAAAAAAATCCCGTTTATTTGATTTATTTAATTGAAATATTAATACAAACCAATCGGAGATTTTGAAGCTATACAATAAGGAAGTTATTTAACTTATATTGGTGAATATTGCCACTCGTTTGGTGTACAAGCTTGTGCATCTTATCCATCCAATTTTAGCAAAAAATTCACAAATGTACTATGTTTAATATAGCCTTATATTATATTCTGTAAATTGTTTTCAAAATACTTTTCGCCATTACAATATATCTGACCTTCTTTTTGAGAATTGAAATGATTATTGAATTTTCAACTGTCCCGTAAATGAATATAGAAAATGTATTTTTGTGGTACATATTTCAAAGAGAACCAAAAATATTATATAGCAAATGAAAACATTTGAATTTTCTATTTTATACACTACGTATTAAAGAATATATACATGTATTGATGTTAATTATTGGATAATGTGTGATGTAGCCGTGTTAAAGATAAACTTATTCCATTTCATTTTTTCCAGTTTTCGTCTCATTAATAATTTAGGAATTATTCAAACAGACCAGACATCCTTATACTCAGCTCCTCCTATACCACTAAATGGTTGTAATGATCCTTTCACAGATTCTTTATTACTAAGTGCCACTGTGCATTTCCTATTTTACTTTTTAATCTGACACTTTCGGGTTTCCCATAACAAAACATAGCCTCTGCCATTATTATCATATGTGAGGTGGGAGAATCATTTTTGAGAACTCATAGCTCACAATACCTATAGTTTTTTATTGGGAAGAAAAGACTTAGAAATCTCAAAGGCTTTTGTTTAAATATGCATAACCTATACTCATTCTTATCATTAAATTATTCTTTTTTCCTAATTTTAGCGTTAAAATCAGTATATATTCCCTTATTAATTAAGGTCAAGATCTAGTAAATGGAAGGTGCCTACATATTTATCACATTTAAGAAAAAAATTCTTTAATGGTGCTTTATAACATTAGCTTGGTCAAAAAAGGTTTTTCGGGGCACAAATTGTAGAAAAAAAAGATGAAAAACCATTTTTAAATTGTCATTTTCAATGAAAAATTAAGAAAACCAGTCAGAAAAATGGAAGTTTTTACCATACCAGACAAAGAAAATGTATCTAGATTGCCTACAGTTTTTCAGAAAACGGTAATTTGTATGTTCTTAGTCTTTAGTTTAAAATAATTTCAAATTTTAAATAGCTATCGGGACTTCTTTTCATGTGATTTCAAATTGAATTCCATGAAAATGCATCATTTTGTACATAATTTTTTAAGAGCCGTAAAGTACGGGAAAAAGAAAGTTGAAAGTGATTATGACGTCATATTGGATTTAGCACTGAAAAGTTATTCAAAAGTCATTTACTAGATCTTGACCTTAAGGGACTCCGACCCTCAGCCAGGAAGGACAACTCTTTAATTTATAATTTAATTCAAAAGTCTTTAAATGGAGCTTTGCAAAGAACCATGAAACACATAGAGAGGCCTATAATAAAATTGTTGCATGAAAGGATTTAATTTTCAAGCTTCATTTAAAGACTTTTGGATTTAAATTATAGATAAAAGGGTTGTCCTTCCTGGCAGAGGGTCGGAGTCCCTTAAAAACACATTTTACAATTAGAAATTTCAAGTTAGGAAAATACAGTGGACCTTCAGATATCCGGACGCCAGATATCCGGATGCTTCAGTATCCGGACGATTTTTCTTCGGAACAAAATTTTTAAATGTTATTTTGTCTTGTTTAATTGCTGATTCAGATATCCGGATGCTTCACATATCCGGACAAATTGACTGGGAACCAAACTGTCCGGATAAATGAGGGTCCACTGTACATTTTCTTTTGACTTAGTTCTTCAGATTTTGCATACAATTTGTTTAAACTCCTAAAATACGTTCAAATGCTTTTATGACAGTACAAAAATGACAAAAATTCTTATAAGATTCTAGTTTAAGGCATTTCAATGGAAAAGTTTTTGAAGACGAAAAGTCAGTTTGTCTTTTTTGTTATAGCCCTAAATGGCTACATGTGATCGGTAATCAACCTACAAGTTGATTATTATTAATTAACCTAATATACGAATGATTTACTCAGTTTAAGCTACTAGTATTCTCTGAGTATTCGCCAAAGTCAAGAAGAAATGCTTCTAATAATTAAGACAATCAGGGAATGTACAATTATAATGTTTGATTTTAATGAAATATGATCATGCATGAATATATATTACTTAGAAATAAGTCTCTTACGACTTTTCATTGAAAAATTAGAATTTTGAACTCATCTGGAATAGTGCAAAAATTCTAACTTAATAGCAGATTTTACGCTTGTTAAATCAATAGCTTACACCGGCACATTGTTTTCCAAATTATAGCCCCTCAAGTCAAAATTGGCTTCAAAAGGGATATAAGTGTTTACTTAAAAGTACTATTCCTCTCCTACTTTTCCTAATATAAAAATTGTCGCCCGCGTGGCGCAGTGGTTAGAATGTCTGCTCTAGAGTCGCGGAATAAGGAGTTGATCCCTACGTTGCGGGTTTGAATCCTACTAGTACTGTGGGACGTGGGGACCGGCCTTCGGATGAGACCGTATAAACCGAGGTCCCGCGTAGCAGTTGGGGCTGGCACGAAAAAGATACCCCCCCCCCTTGCTCAATGACCCTTAGTGCCGACTATAGGATAAAATTTTTAATTCTCCACCGGCAAGAGGTGGCGTCTCCATTTGAGTAAAAAATTCTCGATAGGGACACCAGGTTGGACGCGCAGAGTAGGGAAACAGAAGAGTGGATGAATCTATTCCGTAATTTGTTAATAATTACAAGAAAGTTTGAAACTTTTCAAATATTTTCATACAATATGGTGAAGTCAAACTGTCAAAAAATTATACAAATACTATGGTTTTAATTAGGTTTTGTACATATATCACCGGAGATTATGACGCAATTAAACTTAGTCATGTGACCGTGTGTCCTTCGTCCCCTTACATTACGTTTCATTTTTAAACACTCTTAACATTCCAGTCAATTTAAGATACATCGTACCTTAACCAGATTCAAACTTCATAAAAATTCTTAGAATCAAAAAACAATATTACAAGGTTAAGTAGATAATATTCTGACTTACTCCTCACTAAAGTATTACATGTAACGGCTCTGAAGAAGAAACATAAGATGTATTATTTTAAACAACATATTCTTGACTGGTTGTTTTACTTCTCTACGAAATTATGTACTTTATATTAAGATCCCACCATTTGCAGGTGAAGGCTAAAAATTTAGACTTGTATGTGGTACCTATGAACTTTGAACAGTACGGGATTTTTAGTTTGTGCAAGCATCTATTGCGATAGGGACCTCGGAACAGAAGGTCTCATCCGAAGGACCGGTCCTCACATCGCACAGTAGATTCGAACCTGCCAGGTAAAGATCACATCCTTACGCCGAGATTTTTGAGCAAACCCTCTAAAAACTCCTTCGTTTGGACGACGAAGCTCCATATTCAAAAAGTGATGTAAATTAAATGCAGATTGTTAAAGACGCCATTGAACATTTGAAAAAATCATTATCTGAAAACATTTCAAACATCTATTCAAAACATATCACTTTTCAATACGCTTTATGCAAACATTCTTTAAATTGATTACAGAGCAAACCTTTGGACATCATAGGCAACTGCTTCCACCATAAAACTGGAGATCGAAAATTTTTAAATCTTTTTACTGGTCATCTACGAAACTGCTTTGTAAAAAATAGTGTGATTCTGCACACAAATACTCTGAATATGATATTAGGAGGTGCTACAGTTCCTCATTGACAATGTATATTTAGTCTTTGGTGACAGGATCTTCCAACAATCTCTTGGAATACCAGGGACACTTTTAGTTCTCCGTTACTGGCCGACTGTTTTTTTTTTATTTTTCAATAAAGTAGAATTATTCAAATACTTCTACTTGAGAAGAAGAAATCTTGATGTGGTCTTCAACTCAACATTTAAATATTCAGACAACTTTTGCACATTTAGGGGGGGGGGGGGGCGACTATAGTTTTATTGTGTGAAAACTACAATAGTAAAACTCTTTATTTTTTATACCATATATAACTTACATTAACTTTAGTGTACATGCAGAGTTTGGGGGAAATCTACCGTCCAGGTATTTTTGAGGGACCGTCTCAAAATACAGGTACATTTACTATAGGATTATATAGGAAAATGCCAATTTTTAGCACTTTAAAGCAAATTATACAAATACTACAATAGACATTTTGTTTAAACTATAATATTTGATGCGTAATACTATATTATGCAATATATGTAAGAAACACAAAATTCTACCGTCTTGTTACCAGAGGGGGCATCTGAAAATGCAAAAAATTAGCAAATTTTACTATTTTTATAGAGTATTACAAAACATGACGTACACAATGGATTCACATGAAAACATGATAAAAATATCGTAGATACTCTCAAATTTCTATGTTTTAAATTTCAAGAGCATATGTTCATTACTTTTTCCTTAATAATATTTTTATTACCCCTTTCTTTAAGAGCTACAGATTATCATAACGTCAAAAACACACTGCAACGACGTCAACCTAGCTATCAATTACAAAATCGGTTTAAAAATAAGTTATATCAAATTGTAATTACATGTTTTATACCTATAATTTCTTAATTTTGTTTAATTTTAATAATTAAGCAAAATAAGTTGCATTAAAACAGTAAATACGCTTCATTTTACAATGATGCGCGGAATATTGCGCAATGGAAACTATAGTCGGCCCCCTTAATAACAATTGCTACCTTCATTCATAGACGACATATCCGGTGAACCTGAAATAGAAGACACTACAGAGTCTGCCATTTCTGTTTCTTATTTGGGTGTCTAACGGACTAAAGACAATGATATTCAACCACTAATGAAAGTGTATGATAAACGGAAAGGATTTAATATTCACAAATTCCTTTTCTTATTTGTTGTAATTTTTCAACATAACCTGCATAAAGTGTTTATTTCTTCCGTTATGGGTCCTTCGGATGAGACCTTAAAAACCGAGGCCCCGTGTCAGCGGCAGGCGTTGGCACGATAAAGATCCCTCACTGCTCAATGGCCCTGAGTGCCGAGTAAAGGTCAAAATTTGAAGCCCATCACCGGCATACGGTGACGTATCCATATGAGTGAAAAATTCTCGAGAGGGACGTTAAACAATATACAATCAGTCAATCAATCGTTACGCAAGGGCATGCATGGGTAAGATTGATTTTAAACCAAGACAGCTTCTGACAAACAAGCCACTAATACAAGAATTTCAACAACCCCATTAAAAGTCATCATTT